GCAAAACGCTCGTATTTCCCGCCCTCAGTACACGTTTGACATCTTCCACACTTTGAGAATGGATAACTGTATGAACAAGGATTTACATTTACCTCAGAGGTCACTCTCGCCGCTTCCTCATCATTGACCAGCGGGATCAGCTGACGAGAAGCCGCGAATGAAAGGCTTGAGCATGAACAGCCCAAGTGCACTCGGTGCCGATGCGGGCAATGCGCGTTTCTGTCAACCGGTAAGCCATCACAAACCGTGACCGTTCCAGCTCTTCGTCATGACACGGTGTTACAGAGAGCAGGGTAAAATATAATTACACGGACCACCGAAGCAAACGCAGTTATCGTAAATCTTGGCTTGTGATTGCGCCTTTGTAGGTCATCTTATTCGTTTTGCTGGAGAGACGCAAACGACGGGCATAACATAACCGTTTGCATATTCCGCATACCTCGCAAAATCATTTACCCAGTCACCTTGCGAAAAACGCAAAACACGGAGTCCGCACCGTCATTACGTAATGTTTTTTACCTGCTTTAGAGCAGTTTGCAACTGCTAGTAGCAATAACTTCTGAAGCTGAAACTAGGGGCAGTGCTCAAGAGGAAAGGGACAAAGTTGGGAAAGCTTGCTCGCTCTCCCCACTTTCTCAACTCTCAAGTAAGTGTACAGTAATAAATCCAGCAACGCGTCTTTCCAAAATAAAGAAAAAGTTCAGTGTTCCCTACGTAAAAAAATGGTCTTAGTTCATGCATCTGTAGGCAGGTAGGAAATCTTGCCCGAATTTATTCACACCGCATGATGAGCGCAACGAACTCGCACGAGATTTAAAGGAAAATATCGGTGGTAACTTAAGTTTCCTCGAAATTCTGTTAACCGGTCGTTTGCAGGACTGAATCACCTACTCGAGCTGTGTGCGTCGCTGTGCAAACACGTCGCTGTGCAAACGCAGTCCAACAACACGAAACATAAAAACAGCAAATCTGTAGGACAACAATCCGGAGTTCATTGTTCAATTTAAGCGACGTACTTTTGTTGAAAACGCCCGCAGCTTTTTACTCGCGGTATATGTCGGGATGCTTCCACATTTTGAAACGAAACGAAGGAAGATTTACTTTTAAAGACGCTCGTTGCGTCCTCCCGGAGCAGCTGGACCGGATTAGCTGACGACGACGGGACTGAACCCGTAGAACTTCAACACCAGAACAAGCAATTCGCACTCCGTGTTAGTGAGGCTCTCTACCTCTAATCACCGCACCATACACGACGAACGTTTCAGCTCTTTGTCGCATCGCCGCGTTGCACCGAACAGAACGAGATCGCCGAAGTCAATGCACGGCTGTCGTGAACCTTGGCTTGTGGTTGCGCACTCGTGGACCCTGTGACTCCCTTCGCTTTTCAAGCACACACGGCGTATACGAATGATACTTTCCGTTATTCCGGGAACATCACACAGGCACTTCTCCGGTCACGTCTTCGCTACATGTGCTCGCAAACCGAGCAGCTTCCCCCCTTCCCAGCCGTCTCGGTTGCTCCGAGGCGAGAGCGCTGGCCTACGGATCCCCATGTGGCGGGTTCGAATCCCGGCCGAGGTGCCCGCATTCTGACTGAGGCTTATTGTGGAGGAGGCGCCGTGTAAACGAGCTTTCGGTTGCACGTCAAAAGATCTCTAGGTGGTACAAATTAATCCTCAGTCCTCCACTGGGGCGTGCCAGATGCCTGTCGTTGGTTGGGCACGTAATACCCCCAAATATTTTCCGCCCTTCCCGTCCAACCAAAACAATACCGGCTGGATGGATTTATGAATGGATGTTAATGGCTATACCCTTCGTAACTGGCGGTAGCTTGTGCCACCTAGCCTAAGTCTAAAAAGACAAAAACGTGATTACTCCCGCATTTTTAAGACCAATTTTTTACCCCTAACTATCACCAGGTAGTGTGGGATATCAACAGGACGACCTTCGGGGGATCGGGCAAAAAAAAAAAAAAAAACTAAAAACATCACCCCCGTACCTCTTCCCCCCGGCGAAAGAGTCGCCAATTGTCCTCTGGTAAAACCTTGTCGGCGTTTCCCTAGCACCGGACGCACTGGGACACAGGGTTGAGGCTTTGGGCAGAAGCCACGCGGGAGATAATCCCCATTTTCCCCTGTCCCGCCTGTCCCCAGCTGCTGCGCCATGTTAAACGTGGGTTGTTGCTAGATTTTCTCCGACCAAATAAAAAAACAACGAAAGCAAACCGGCTCTAGCTTTCAGCGTACATCGGCGTTTCGCCGTGGCCAATTTTTTTCTGCCAGCTCTAACTTAAAGATGACCTAAAGATGCAGCAACACTGGCCACCACGGAGCGCCGTGAATTCTGAGGAGGGTGCATGGGAAGCGGCGGCATCTTCGCTTGCAATTGAAGGGTTGAAGCCAAAACGAAACCAACTGCAATGTCACGTATTCAGATCGAGGGCACGCTTTTTATATCCATTGTAACAGTTTAGAAAGAATAATTAGACCCCTAACTTTCGTTGTGGTCTGTAAAAAACAATTATCAAGACCCCTAAAATAAATAAAAACAGGGGCGACATGAGGGAAGCCACATTGCCATCGACCACAATCAATGGCAGCAAGCACGGCAAACACGGGGTTCGACCCGTCCCGCGACATGGCGTAATTGTTTTTGTTGCATATCTGTCTCCGTGACATGTTTTTTTCCGCGAAATTTGTCTCCACGGTCCTTTTCAGGTGTGTCCCCAAGCATTCCGGTGCTTCGGTAGCCGGCAATGCTGCGGTCGTCACCGGGTGATGCGTGTTTTCGAGGTCGGCTACACGGTTGTGCGTGTATAAGCGAAGCAAAACACGTTATTTACAACCTCGCATGATTTTTGAACGAATTATCGGTTACTGAACGTGTAAATGTATGGTAATTTGTGCAAATAGTGTGTTTTTTACCCCAAATATTCACCAAGTACACGGGACTCGCTAAAAGCGTATTGAATGCTGTTCTCTGCTCAGGACCCCCTAACTGGAGATATTCCACTGTCTTCAGTTAGGGGGTCCTGGAGGCGCGCGCTCTCGTGAAGTGACCGCCTGCCCCCCCTCCCCCCCTCCCCCCTCCGCCCCCTCACTTATGGCGCGCTCACACTGGAAGCGGATCCGCAAACGCGAAGCGGATCCGCCCGTTCTCTACCGAAACGCGGCTAGGATCGAGCGGTTGGAGCGCGTTTTTGCCAACCGCTTCGGGACCGATTTCTCCCAACCGCTTTCACGAACCGCAAAGCGGCAACCAATCACAACGCGACGCTGACGTGACGTCAGTGACTTTCGAAGCAAGATGGCGCCTGTCGCTGGTGAGGCGTCCAAGACGCTGTAGTCCCAGTGCTGCAGCCTTAGCTTTCGACAAATCAACGGAGAAACGTGATGCTCACATCCGTCACTTGAATCCGCCGCGAAAAGAATTGACTCGTAATTTCAACGAGCTTCGCACCGGTGATTTGGTTCGGGTAAGGGTTTGTTTATTACTCTGGGTGCCACAGCCCAAACTCGCTGCCTTGTTAGTCTATGCCTGTAGAACGTCGGAACCCGCCCCTGATCGACCAAAATGTCAGCTTTTCTACTCACTAAGATAGTCGCGTGAACTATTGAAAGCTTTCGACACCGTGCATGACCACCACAAAGGCCGATAGAGACGTCGTGAGCTTGATTGCGTAGCCAACGCACTACCGCGGAAGGGGCAGGGTACCTGCGCTAGCTCGACCTGTAACGTTTACTACTAATAAAATAAGTAAAGGAAACCTACTCAAGGAATAAAGTGTACGTACCAGACAATGCAAAGGTAATCCATACGGCGTTTATTTGAGCTTAATGTCAAACAAACACTAGATTCGATCGACGAGCGAGTGACGAGGGGAGAGTCCGCCACCAACGAAGCCATGACCGGCTAGCACCGAACACATTCCCCCGCACCACGGTCCACCCTACCGCTCACAACTTCGAAAATGATAAGAGCGAACAACACCGAGGGGGGAAAACTGGCCCTCTATCCCGAAAACAAGGTCAGCTATTCATGCGGGAAGAATCCCCTTCGAAGAAAAGGTCAGCGGCATCCCGTTCTGAGTCAGCAAGGCGCGCCTAGCTGGGTTTTGCTTGTGGCCGAAGTCGAGAGAATCACAGGCGAGTTTGGCAGGTCCATGCTTCTTTTTTTCGCTGCGTGCGAACATCCCGGAGAAAATTATTCCGAGTGCCAAAATAGCAAAAGTTTGGCTTTGGATCTTGAAATAAAGTGGATTTTGGATTGTGAAACCGGGTTGCCATACGCAAGTCTCAAAAGATCACCCCCCGTGATCGCCGAGAAACCGCCAACCGCCTCCGATGTGTCTGAACGGGGTCGCTCGCGAACCGCATCCGCGACCGCTTCACGAACGCGGATCCGCTTCCAGTGTGAATGCGTCATTAGGGCAACGCGTCACACGAGAGCGGCGGCCGAGCCCGCGCTCCCATGAAGCGGCCGCCAATGGTCATCTAGGAGCCGTTCCGTACAGTCAGGGGGAGAATTGGAATTTCGCATTTTTTTGTCGGTTACAGACGCAGCCGGCTCCGCTCCACGGGATAGTAAGTGCTGTTGCATTAATAAAACAAAATATTGTGGCATTTTGACACAGCTATTTGGACCAATATGCTGAATCTCGTTATCTTTGACGGCATATAAACTGCGATTGCAATTTATACCTTCCAGCATTGGAAAGGTATGGCTAAACTTCTAAAGAATGTTTGGTTGATCGGTTAGGATGTTATATATTGAGAAATATAAGGTTTGCAAAATGCAATAAACACCTGTTAATATTAAAGTGTGAATAAAAGATATAATAAACATTCCTAGCACATTGTTATACAAGGTCACATTGTTTTTAGCCCAGTTGCAAAGATAACTGGGTGTAAGTTTATGTAAAATGTGCTTTAAATATCAATATTTAAAGCATAATTTTGCTTAGAGTGTTTTAAATTGCTACTACCACAGAAGATACTCACGGCTGTCTACGATGGATTGAAGATCGTCTTGGGTACAGTCGCTGATCATGCAAATCCCAAGCCGTAATCCGGGTAGCCGAGGGTCCGTCAGGTAGCTTGTGAAGTATTGCATCTGCGCAAATGGTCACGCAGAAACATTACTAACGCGGTTTAGACTCTAGAGTAAACAGTGGAGTGTGCATAGGAGCAGCATTGAAAACCAACAACTAGAGGGTTAGAACGGCCGGCTCACGCTCCGGAGAAAACGGTACGTATTTTCAGATGTTCATGGATTTTGAAACAAGATTAATCTAAATAAGGTCGGTTTAAATATGTTTCTACAGATTCAAGATTTAATATGTCAATATATTAACTAATATATTCTAATATGTTTAGAGCGCAGCTCTTAGGCGCCCGTTTACGGCTTGAGTGGCATGACCACGAAGTGCATTATGGGAAACGTCCCATAATGCAATGTGCGGGTCTCACTCGAGACGCGCGTGTTGCATAATGTGACGTTTCCCATAATGCACCGCGCGGTTACGCCGAAACGTCCCGTAATGCACCGCGCGGTTAGGCCGAAACGTTCGATAATGCAACGCGCGGGCACCATTCATGACCAGCGCGTTGTTTTATGGGACGTTTCGGCGTAACCGCGTGGTGCATTGTGGGACGATTCCCACAATGACGTCACACGTGACATTTGGAGTGACGTCCCGAGGGTCACGAGCAGGGTGTAAGATAGACAGGTGGGGAAACGGCCCATAGAACCCTACCGCAGCGCCGTGACCGGATTGTGTACTCGTCTGCTTGCGGGTTCCCCCGATTTGCGACAGATGGCGCTGCGGCGAGAGGAAAAAAAAATCGGAATCGGATTTGCATGGAACTTTATGGGAAAGTGTGCAAAATAAACCGAGAGCACGACATTCCTTCATTGAAAATCCACGAGAAATCATCTCCGTCAGTTTAGCCGGTCGCCACCGGTCGCCCACCCGGAGTGAGAGTTCGCGGTGCTCCACATAGGTGGCGCCACATAAAAAGAGAAACCCGAGGGGGACACAATCCGGTCGCTCATTTGGCTCTCGTTTCCCCACCTGTCTATCTTACACCCTGGTCACGAGTGACGTCGAAAGGATCCCGCGCGTTGCATTATGGGACGTTTGCCATATTGACGTCACACGTGACGTCACGAGGGCCACGAGTGACGTCACGAGGGTCCCGCGCGCTGCATTCTGGTAAACGTTCCTAATGCAACGCGCGGGTCTCAATCGTGAGCCGCGCATTGCATTAAGGGATTTTTCCCATCATGATGTCACACGTGACGTTATGAGTGACGTCAGGAGGGTCACGGGTGGTTCCACGGGTGTGCCGCGCGCTCCATAAAGGGAGACATCCCATAATGTCGTCAAGAAAGGAGGGGTGGAAAAGGAGCAAGGGAGGAGGGGACGAGCACGGGAAAAGGAGAGGAGGAAGAGGGGAGGGTTCGGATGAGGAGGAGGGGCATACCCTCCCCTCCGTACCCTCCCCTCCGCCTCCTCAAGAGCTGCGCTCTAATTCCGTATTACAGGAAGTTGCAAACGTCTTTCATTTTTTTTTTTTTTTTACAGTCAGCTTACTCCAGTGCCAAAATATATATTTCTAAACTTAAAACTTGTACTCGTAACTCATGTATTCCATTTTCGCAATGATCGATTAGAATAGCGCTTAAAATATGCGGTTCGAACAATTATGACGAAAGCAAGCTGCATGTGTCTAACTCAAAAAGCGTCCATTCTCGGCAGAACATTTTACCTTACTCTAAAGTCTGTACTTTTCACTGTTCTCTTCTTCTAAGTGTAAAGTTGCATCTTTAACGAAGAAAAAAAAATGGGCCGCATCTCCACGTGGTGAATGATGTTGATTGGGGCGAAGCTCTGGTGGTGCTGATGATATTGATTTTATTGTTCATAGGTAGTGCTGATGGTGCTGATTTTTTTTATTGCTCATATGTAGTGCTGAGTTCTGGGTTCCGTTTCGACTTCATTATTACTCCTTTATGATCGGGGAAATGCAGAGCCAGTGGTTCTTCTAGCGGATCAGCTTGGATCCGCTAGAAGCCGTGGGAACGCATCTCCACCGCTTAAGTGCACGGTCCATGTCAGAAAGAAAATGTGTGGTATGGAACGTGGTTATATACGCAGTTGAGCATTTGACTGCAGCGCCCTCTCGTCAATAAACTTTGAGCCAATGCAGGCAAAGCTTAACGCGATTATATACGCGTTTGACCGCAGCGCGCTCTCCTGTATAGATGTTGAGCGGCTACATGCAGCGTTGGAGTGTAGCGTAGTGATTGAGACGTCTGCCTCGTAAGCAAGCGGTCCTGAGTTCGAACCCCCGTCCGGGCGTACGTCTTTCTTTAAGAAGTGGGCCGATCCCGGAGGTAGAAATCGCGAGCTTGCACAAGGGGCAGAGGAGTTATCGAGCCAGTTCAAGGACTACTAATCACATAAGGTGCTAGGCAAGTAAATTGTGCTAGACGTCATCGTGCATAGATTCGATGAATCAAAGTGATGTAATAAATTAGTAACGATGTAGTTGGATTCACAAACGAGTTCAGTCGGGCTGGCGAAACAAAATATGCACTACGCTGTAGGCAAGTAACGGAAGGCACCGAAGATAAGAAAACCATCACCTGACAATAGTCATTTGGTACAACAGATAATACGCGTGTAAGGGTTCTGGGAAAGATGGCTGGTTTCTCGCAGGGCGACGGTAGTCTTGTTTAGCCGCGCACATGACGCTTTTCCGTTCGTTTGTTTTGTTTGTCAAACGAGAGGGTCTTCCTCAGAGGACTCTGCTCCCGGCCGCGTATCTTTCATATATGTTTTGCTCTTAGTTGGGGTGGTCGGTACGTCCTGAGCCCCTTCCGGCGCCGATTAGGTTTCGGACGAGGCACCTTGGTGGCAGCTACCGACTGTGCAGCGGACACTACGGTTCTTGTCGGTGCTGTCAGCCGGGTTCCGTTGCAAGGGTGACGAAAGGCAGTGCCAACCATTGGTCCGTGAGCGTCACGTGCCTTCGTTCAGGTTTAAAACAATTGGTTGAACCCTTGTCCGATGGTAAGGAGGTCGGAGTCCTCAAAAGCACGCGCTCGGGAGAGAGGGTGCGATTTTTGGACCGATGATCTTGACCTTGTAACGCGTCGGACGAGAAATCCCCTGCTTTTGAACGTTAAGGCCCGTTCAGACTCTTCCAACCAAGTACGACCGAGAGAGACTTCTTAGGACCGGATGCGCTAGAGCGGAGCTGGTCCTAAGGTATCGCAAAAGGCTTAAAAATTGGTCTGGTCTCTCTCGGTCTTGCTCAGTCCCAAGAATGTGAACGAGCCTTAAAAGGTCATGTACATTGTGTGTATTACGTTTTCGTGTAGATATGGTGTAAGTAAACAGTTTTGCACAGTAGGCTCACGAAGCCTCGCCCGCACTTCTCCGAACGCGATCGCCGAAAAAGACCTCACCGCTTATCGCGGCACCGCAAGAACAGTCGCGTGGGGCCCAAACAACAACAGCGTGAAAACAAACCCATCTTTACTACGTGGAAGGGACACAATGATGTTATCAATGACGAGGGGAAGATAATCTGGCACTCGGTGTCATTAATTATTTTATTATTCTTTGTAGTAGTAATAATTCTAGTTTCAAGGAAAACAATTTGGGACACACCTATCTGTAGTTTAAGATGCCTCCATTAAAGTCTATAGGTTATGGCTGGTCTACATGACTGACATCATCTGTCAACGTCTGATGAAGAGAACTCACCCTCCAGTGGGAAAGCAGAGCGGCGGGCATTATCTCTTCGATGATTGACCTGTCGTCCCCCATCCTTACGTGGAAATTGCAGTACTGGCCGCGCACTTTCTCAATGCCGTACTGGTCCCGGAAGACGGTCTCGATGCACTCGTCGAATGCTCCCGGATCGGCCGTCGTGGCTTGCAACAGACCATTCGGGTACATCCCTGACGCATCAAGCACTGTAGGAAGAAGTAATACTGATTGTAGAAATATTTGCAAAGCGGGGCTTTGAAGTCTGGATACTTGTATTACACTTATAGAAATGGAACTTAGCCAGTGAAGGACAAAGTAAAACATGAAATATTTTGTGACCAAGGGCGACGCTGTTGGGATGAATTACGTGGTTGCGTATTTTGGTTTCATTCTTCTTTTGCGATTAACATTTGTCACGGTCCATGAGCGGTATGTGAATCCAAGGTCTCAATTTAAGTTTGTCGCTTGTCATTATTCACTAAACTTTTAGAGCAAGTAAAAGGAGCTGATGCCATATCCACTCAGTCTGTTAAACTACTTATTTGTCCTGTTTTGTTTGACAGTTAAAGGTCGTTTTCACTGAGGGAGTTAGCCCATTGAGGTGAGCTTGCGATGCGCTAGAGCAAGCTGGACTTCGCAATAACACAAAATAGCTTGTCACCTTTTTTGCAATGGTTTTTGTGCTCCTAGAAAAAAAACAAGATGGTTGACGAAGTAGATTTTCCTTGCTGCCACACTGTCGGCATCTTCAGAATATTGGCGAACTTTTCAAGTGTAAACAGTTATATTACAGCAACTTCACCTGCGCCATCTATCGGTTATTCCTGGCTCACTTACAGTTGGCACAGATTTAAATTATGTGCAAATAATTACTTTATCGCCGAGTTACTTGCACTATAAAATTGTATAAAAATAATAATATTTCTTTTCTGTGCCCCATGACAACCACATGCGACTTCCTAGTGGGGCACAAATGTAATAAATTTGATAATGAAACATTGCTTACAGAAACGTGCAATGTAGCACGAGAAAGGAAGGATTGAAATGGTTAAAAAAACATTGCATACTTCCTATTACACATGGCACCTTGTTACGGAAAGGTGCATTTTCAGTGAATACGTCTAAGGTGGATGATGTCATTCTAAAAATGAAGCCTGAAAGCGTGAAATTGTAGAAACCTTACAGTTTGAAGAGCCTAAAAAAGAGTCAAAGCAACGCATGAGGCGACATGGCTACTAAGACAGATCAAAACTTGTTCACAATCAAACGCACAAATAACGACGTTGTGCAAAAAGAAAAAAAAAGAAATAGAGAATCACGCTAGGACTGATAATTTCTAGAAGAATGTTCCTAAATTTATTCCGAGAAACACCATAGAACAAGTTGTTTACCACGAAATGCGATGTTGTATTGCTGATGTATCCTCGCAAGTGTCACCGTGTTTTAAGTAACGTGAGAAGGAGAGAATGCCACTAAGAATTAATACTAGTAAAGCTTGGACTTGGGTTTGGGCTAGTTGGTTGAACATTGATAGACGTGCTGCGCTGCGAAGTTCTACAGAACAAACGCGTGACCGAAAATTGAAAGGAAAAGGATGAGTTTACATTGAGATGAGGAGAAACACAACAAACACGAATGGGCGCAAACGCCCTCCGTGGTTTTACAATAAGGCTTCTTTAGGCGCAAAACTTGTGCATGCACTTAGCTACATCTAAGTTCGACGAGATAATTATTTTTATCAGTTTATGAGTACTGTTCACTCAGGAAGCAGAGTTAACGTCTGGACTCAAATGGACAGGCTCAACACAGACCCCGGGACGCCGCGGCCCATCTCCCCGCGTGGCGGCGGCTTGCGGTCACGGCTTCCGGTGCAGGGACCTGGCTATCAAACCATCAAACCATAAAATCGGAAAGAAAAGAACCCCACTGGCGCAGCCGACATTGATCCGTATGAAAAGGCTGCTGAGGAGTTCTGGTGACATCGAGGCATCTGCCGGAAGCCGGGATGTTAAGTAACGAAGGATTTTGTTAGAAATAAGTAAGATTTCTTTTAGAAAAGCCTATCTTTTTACAGTTGCGTCGGCATCGTTTTTTTATCTGCCTTTGTTTGGGTCCACATTGTTGGGCGTTTACTCGCATACCCGCTGCAGGGGGTGAGAGCGTGAACGGGGAGTCGTCTTGTTCTCTCAAGCGCGGGGGGCTTCGAGCAACCGCGGGGCTCGGTGGAAAAGAGTAGGACACCGGTAGTTAACAAACGGATTGGGTTTCAGTTTGGGGCTCCGGAACACCCCTGTCTTCGGCTTCTGTCCGCACTTGTGGCTTTTAAGCGAGTGTGCTTGTGTCCGGCGTATTTCGCCGCTTAGTGTAGAAACTTCGCTCTTAATCACCACAATAACTCAACTTGCTGGCGCCACCCTTAGCGAAAAGTCGTTCAAAATCAGTACACTCGAAGTGTACTGAAGTATACTAAAAGTATATTTTCGGTGCATTGTTTGTACTGATTGTATACTTTTAGTGTACTTAAAGTATACTTCCAGTAAAAATGACGGTGGACTGAAGGTATACTCGTCCGTACAAAACTAGTACATGTAATAGAATCATAGTGCCCGCGGTAAAAAGTAGCTCAAAATCAGTATACAGAAAGTGCACTTAACTATACTAAAGGTCTACTTTCAGTGCTTGTAGTGGGTGTACTCAAATTATAATAATGGGTACATATACCGCGGGTGTTCATTTTTAATTCGAACAGATTTATTTAAGAAAAGCCGTGAAAGTTACATTTATGCTACTTATGGAGGTGAGTTATACGGCCAGAGGGACATATTATAGGGGGCTAATCGTAACGATCAGTTGGCTAATTAACTAAAATTCGATAATTAACTTTTTAAATGATGAAAATAGACATATGGTTCCAATTAGAAACTTGCTCAGCGTCGTCAAAAAAGCACTAAATCAGTCATTTTCAGAAAGACTTTGAGCGCATGACAAACGTAGTAGTGTACTAAAGTTACCACTCGTGGAGCAGGTACAAAGCTAGCGGTTGCGGTAAGGCGCCCCGCGCGATTTTTCCGTCTCTTATCTAGCCCCAGCCTTGTACCTGCTCCACGAGTCGTAACTTTAGTACAATACTACGCTTCTTACGCGCTCAAAGTCTTTCTGAAAATGACTGATTTAGTGGTTTTCGATGACGCTGAGCAAGTTTCTAATTGAAACCATATGTCTATTTTTATTAATTAAAAAGTTAATTAACGAATTTTAATTAATTAGCCAACTGATCGTTACGATTAGCCCCCTATAATATGTCCCCCTGGCCGTATAACTCACCTCCACAAGCAGCATAAATGTAACTTTCACGGCTTTTCTTAAATAAATATGTTCGAACTAAAAATGAACACCCGGCATATATATATATATATATATATATATATATATATATATATATATATATATATATATATATATATATATATATAGTTCGTTTTTTAACATCAACACACTAAAAACGCGATAGATAGGCCGATGCCGTCTTCACAGAATATTTGTGGGGCTCGGCAGACATTAGATGAGTAAATAAACGTCACAGTACGTTGTCTAATTAGCTTTTTTAATTGACAGTGTAATTGACCATGTTGAATTTTCAATTTTAAAGGGGCTATGAATCAACTATAGCCCAACTGAAACAATTTGCGAAAAGGTGACGAGTTTTGGGTTCTTCATAGCTAAAACACTGCCTTTCGTCGCCTGATTAAAAACAGCGCGCTGGACAGAGCGCAGGATGCTATTCTTAAGCATTCACTTCAGTCGAACCGTTGGAAGTATGATGCTGGAGCATCCACCAAAGGCACGCTGTCAAAAGTGTGCAACTTCGTTCATGCTAAATACGACAGCACATTATGAGGGCTGTAACTTCACTAGAAAATTAAATGATGCATAGAATTCCAGTATGAGAAGTTCTCGCTAACACAAACAAACATGCCACCACCCATATGCCATGTCAAAACCTCTAAGTAACTCTCCACTTTGCCCGCCCCTGCCGCGCGTGGTTCTTGAATCGAGGGAAAAAGTGCGAAACTTGATAAATAAATATCTGAAAGCCCCTTGCTGTTTCGTGAATAGTTTTGATTGTGTTAGGCTCTAATAACGACTGCCTCTAAAACAGAAAGAATAAAAAAAGTAAATTTACGGATTTTAATTACTTAAAGAAATGTTGCCACGGTTATTCACCCATGTAATGTCCGCCGAGTCGCACGACACACATGAAGAGTGCATCAACATGACAGCCGAGTCGCACGACACACATGAAGAGTGCATCAACATGACAGTGAGCCCCCAATTTTCCTGAAACCAGTTGATTAAAAATTTCACCGGGTATAGCTGACATAATGTGACAAAGGGATGCTTCATTTCACTGCAGACCACGTGGTCCAAAAGTTCCCCGGGGAAACGACCGGCACTGTCATAGCCTACTTACGTCGCAAATGCAACATGGACTTACGCCTAAAAAAAAAGCACAAATAGAAAAATTAGCTGCATTGTACGCCACGGAAAGTAGCGTTATCTAACCTGTCAATAATTATTTTAGCTAGTCATTTCTATAAATTTAGCAATTGAAAAGTCTACTTTTATTGCAAAGATAGCTTTTATTTTCCCTGAGCTGTATTTGTTACATATATTGAAGAATAAAAGTTTACTGTAAAAATACTGTTAACACTATTCGGAAGCTAGGCGATCGAGGGCAATCGCACCAAGTGTTTAATGCTGCTGATGAAAAAGCATGCACATGACTTTGTTTTCAAAGTGCACCGCCACTTGCGTGCTGCCTCATAGGCTAGTAAACAAATTACGTTTGCAGGATAATTCGGTGTTTTTGTAATGCAGGTCTCAGCGCACTATACGCTGTTTCAGATATCTGCATCCACAGCAATAAAAAGGACAGGAGGCAAAAGAAACCACGGCTAATAATGAGGACATAAGATGCTCCACCTTGCATAGTCTCATGCAACGCAAATCAACTTCTGAACCTCGTAAGCGAAATGGTGTTATGAATGGAAGCTCGCTCTGAAATTGGCTGGAGCAATCGGCGCCTTCATGTAACAACCTGAAGCTTTCACCGAAAGTGTTTCATGGTGTAGATTTATCTTTGAAAACTCTAAGAAATCTCGATTCACGTGAAAAGAGATTGAGAATTGCAACAACGAACAACACC